TGCATGCATTTATAATATAAATGCTGTAATATCATAACTTTTTTAATAAAAGATTTTATTTATTTATTTTTAGAGAGAGAGAGGAAAGGAGTGAGAGAGAGACAGAGAGAAACATCAATGTGTGGTTGCCTCTCGCACGACCCCTACTGGGGTTCTGGCTTGCAACCCAGGCATGTGCTCTGACTGGGAATCGAACCAGCGACCCTTTGGTTTGCAGGCTGGCATTCAATGCACTGAGCCACAGCAGCCAGGGCTATAATACCATAACTTTTTGATTCAGCAAGATATCTTGGAAATACGTTTATGGTATTGCATCTAGTTCCAGTTTATTTCTTTTAACCACTGTATATTTATCATAATATGAGTATATTACATTTTCTCTAGTATCCTTTGTGGACATTTAGTAGTTTCTCCTTTTTCTTACTACAAATAATGCAACAGTGAACATTCTTGAATAATCTTCCTTGTGTACAATGCAAGAATTTTCCTGGAGCCAGAAGAAAGGAATGAAATTATTAGGTACAAGTATTTGAAACTAATTTTTAGAGATTAATTTTTACATGAAAATTAATCTAGTGCTTATTCTCATTTCCTCCTGACTCCATTTTCATAATATGTAACAAGTTTTTCCTTTGTTTTATTTTTCACCACTATGCTGATGATAAATTGACAACTCAGTGACACAAATGAAATGACTTTTTTTTTAAGCAAGTCCTGTTACTTTGGATCATAGATGCTGTTGTCAGCATATCATTATTTGTCCTTTAGAAATGAAACATGGTAGAGTAAACAGTAGCACCCAGTGATGTGCTGTACAGTTTGGTTTTCCTCCTTACATTGTTTTCTGCTATCTCAAGAAAGAACAGGCCACAGAATGTGTCGGTAGAAATGCAATTTAGGAAGTGCACTTGATCTTGTTTTTCAGCCTAACATTTCTGTTCTTTCATCATAAAGATCAGCTGCGTTTTTATTTTTCTTTCAGACCCTTAGAATAACATCCAGTTCTAGTCAGCATGTTTAATGTACTTCTCGATGTTCTAGCACAATAAATTTTCGTATCTCGTGCATGAGTACATATGGTAAAAATTTCTTCAAGTTCTAGCCATGTGGGGGAGGAATATTGCGGTTGCTTTGTTAATGCAGTGTTTGTGTTGGAGTGGTTAGGGCCCGGTGCTCTAACTCGCAGCGCTGGGCGTAATGAGATGGCTTTGATGGTGGCTTAAGAGACTAGAGGGATGGTCACAGCTTCACACTTCAAAGCCGAGCATATGGGGTGAATACTGGGTAGCTTTTTGCTCTTTGGGGATGGTTGGAAGACAATTCTTAGCAACTCTGTTTAATGAAGACATTGGAAAAGAAATGCTCTATCTTTAAAATAATTTTGAATTGCAAAAAGAAATTTCCACCCCCCCCTTCCATAGACTAAACTAAGAATAAATTTTTCCCAGTCTGCACTTAATTAGAGGCAGTACAGCATCACAGTACTATACTGTATTTTCACATGTCTTCTTTTTCAAAGTACTGCAGAGAGAGATTAATCGGCCAGCTTTATTTTAGGGATATGTATGAATTTAGGCAAAAACTTTTAGGGCTATCTGTTTTACCATCTGAGAGATTTTTGTGACTTCTGGTAGAGAATCTTTTTTTTCCCCCTCTTCTCATTAAAAAATACTAAATAAAAAAATCAAGTAAACACAAATCTTGGCTATATTAAGAAAGCTGTACTAAAACTAGAGGATGCTTGTAAGATTTCAAGTCTAGCACCCAGTTTAATTTTCAAATTCTGTGCTTTTTTACCTCTACTTGTTATTGAGTATGAGGTGATAGGTTTGAAAATACTCTTTTGCTTGCTATATACTTATGAAAAGATTTGATGTTCTTTGGGGTATTATTAGAGTTCTGCTTTAAAATAAATAAGCTACACATTTATACTGTATGTGGGCAAGAGGAAAGAGAATTTATCTGTTGAAAGGGAACGATAGGTTTGAGGTTTTTTCCTAGTTGTGCATTTTGGCTGTCATGGAAAAATGTAACAAAAATTAGCTTATCAGCTATGTGCCTTGAGTTGCTAAAATGCAATTCTGTTTAACAGCTAAATATCAACTCCATTTATACCAGTATTCCTAAATTGCTCCTGCAAGAACAAAAGCAGAAGGGAAAAGGATACTAAATACCACTCTAGACGTGAAGTGTGTTAGTGTAAGGCAGATTCGGAAATACTGTCTTCACAGACTAATTGTTGTATATCCTCAATAAAATACTATATTTTGGCCACAGTTATGTCTATTATAGGCTCAGAGAAAAACATTTAGTTAAAAATATGAAGCTGAAACTTTTTATCATGCAGGGAAATGTCTGATTGCTTTGATTCTCCTTTTGCAAAGAAGAATAACGAAAGTCATAGAAGTCTCTAAAGTTAAGACAGAAAATGATAAATATGCCTGTATAGAAATGGATAAAAATCATTTTTAGTAAATAAGGTCAGCCAATCATGAAGGTTAAAATATATTTTAAAAGTATTGTCATCAAATCAGCCTTTTCAGAATATGTCTACTGAAAATGGAAAGATGAGAGCCATTACTGATAGTGATGGGAAAAACTTGTCGAAAATGGAAGAAAAACTCAAAAGTATTGTTCTTTTGTAATTTGCAGGGTTCTTGGGAGCAATAAATAAAATTAATTTTATGAACTTAAAAAAAAAGTATTGTTCTTTTAGTAAAGAGCAATTTATGATCCTGCAGAGTTTTGCTTTGCCTGTTTGAAGATGACATAGAGCATCCTACCCTTCCAGCACAAGGTAATTCAGATATTTGTCGTATCTGACAGTACCGACTGGCTCACGTAGCCACTGATTCAGGTGGATGGCTGTGGATGGGACTTCTGTTCTGAGGACTGCTCATAAAATATGATGAAAATGATGGAAGATTGATCCCATGGTTTCTCATCATAGTACATTGTACTTTGTCTGGTGTTAAACCCGTTTCGCATTCTGTTAGCACACTGAGCCCCTTGCTCTCTCTCATTTGTAGGTTTTGGAGGGACTGCTATTCCAGGTTTGCAGTGTCCAACATCTGCATAATGCTCAGGAACCAAATTCAATTCATTCAACTTAACAAACCTTAATTGTTCAGGGAGCTGGAAACCTAGATGGAGAAACAAAAGTCCACAATTAACTATGTAATATAAATAGATTAGATTTGATGTTATAGCCAATAAAAGCTGTAAAATACTGCACAAACACAAGAGGGAGAAATGAATTTCAGTGGAGGGAACGCACGATTATAAAGCACGGATTAGTTGAGTAGTTCTAGTTTCTTGTTAATCATTGAAAATGCTGAAAGTTCCTGCTCAGGAAATGCTTGGCTCTGCAGCAGAAGGGAGAAATGGCTTTGCAGGAAATGAACACACAACTGTTGCTTTCAATAATAATGTCGCTTACCTAAAAACTGATGGGACTTTGTTTCCCACAGGCTTGAGCTTGAAGTATTCAGAATTTTTATCTTCTTTAAGAGGCCTATTTGTTTGCATGATGTGAGCATTTGAATTACATAAAATGATTGTCGCATGGATTAATTGTGAAAATAAAATGATAAAATTAAAACAAGCTCTTTTGAATATGGAATTTATATCACAGATAAAATAGCTTGGTAGTAAGTATTCTTCTGAGTAAATCTGAGACGTGGAATTACATGAATTAAATGCTAATTCTTTGGTACCATCTAACACCCAGTGTATAATCCAGGCAAATGTCTTTCTGTGATGGATTTATGTAAATCTCGATCTGCGTACGGTTCACACAGCACATTGATTTTTTCTTCTTTTTATTATTTATTTTTTTATTGTTATTCTATTGCAGTTGTCCCAGATTTTCCCCCTTTGCCCTCCTCTGCCCATCCCTCCCGCCTTCTCCCACAGTCAATCCCCGCACTGCTGTCCATGTCCATGGGTCACTCATACATGTCCTTTGTCTAGTCCCTTCCCCTTCTTTCCACCATTGTCCCTCTCCCCCCTCCCCTCTAGTCACTGCCAGTTTGTTCCGTGTTTCCATATCTCTGGTTCTATTTTGTTCCTTAGTTTATTTTGTTAATGATCTGTCTCTTTAGATCTACACCTGTTCCTCTGCCCCCATACCATTTTTTCCTCCCATTCACTGTTTTCAGAAACCACTTTAAAATACTTTAGTAAAACCAAAGGAAAAAAAGAGGAAGATAAAAAGGGAGAGATAGAGAGAAAAATAAAGGAAGTAAAGAAAAGAAACTGACCCAAAGGATAGAAGGAGAGATCGACATTAGATAAACTAAGGAAAGCATCTAGCACAACGTCTGGCCCACAGTAGTCAGTAAGTATTATAACTTTATTTGCCCTTTGCAAGCCTATACCACTGTTCCAAATTCTGAAAAGTCTGAAATACTTCTGGGCTGGTAATGTTCCTACTTACTAGAAATCCATGTATATTTTAACAACACTCCTCTTCCATTATCTCTTCTACACAAACTCGTGGTGGAAGGAATCAAACTTAAGTTTTGTTCTCTAATGAAGCAAGAAAATACAATATTTTTCATTATTATCATATAATAAAGAGACATCCAAAACCAAACTGATACTTAGTAATAGAGATAGTATACCTTACTCATCATACTCAAGGAAATAATATTTCAGGTAGGTATTTGTAATTTCCCTTGTGAAATTAGATTTGTAATGACTTAGAAATTCTAGCCTCCTTATACGAAGACAAACTTTTATTATGAGACTAACTTCATGGGGAAATAAATTATGCTCAAACTTTGATTCTTAAAATGAGTATGAATTATATGCTTTAGTGGTGATGGTTATACAATGAAGGGAATGTACTTAATGCCACTGAATTTTACCCTTAGAATTGTTAAAATGGTAAATTTTATGTTAAGTATATTTTATCACAATAAAAAAATTATATGCTTTATTTTCTTTTATTAGGCTGATTTTAATGTAATTTTATTAAAATCTCCCACTACTTATAGGCCTTGCTGAGAATCTGGTCCTTCACGTTCCGGGCAGCAGCGTGTTTCTTTTTGGGGAGGCCGACCTGCCTGAGAAGCGCACCCTTGTCCAGAGAAGAAAGCAGCTGGGCTGGTTCACAAGGAGGGACTTCAGTGCTCTCAAACCTGACCTGGGAGCCGTACCCGCCCGAAGATGTGGTTTAACAGGTTCTCAGTATAGTTTTGTTCTGCTTTTGTTTTTAAACTTGACAGCAGACTCCTGAGATCCCTTTAATTTGGTCCCTCCTGTGTAATGTAGGTTACAGTTGGGGCTCCATACTGAACTGAGTGAGGATCTCTCTCAGCTCTAAATCTCCCCTGTGTCTTCATAAACCGACCAGAGAGGCGAGAAGCCCTCTTCAGATACTCAATGAAAGGCCCTTAGAGTGATATTCAAGATACATAATGAGCCCTGCATCCTGGCCGTTGATGTTGAGAATGGTTGTCACTCCCGACCCTGCGTTAGGATCCTGGAGGCCTGCTGCTGTGCCAGGTGTGAGGTCGTATCTGGGGTGTGATGGGGACACTTGAGGGGTAAGGGTTACTTTTAGCTGGTAGGAAAGTTTCTCAGAACCTGACCATCCAGTGTGGTCAAGGTGATGCATGCAGCTGGAAATCAGTTCTAGAGGCAGCTGGGGTAAAGCTTCTCTAGACAACAGGTTTCCAGAACTAAGGGGACACACACCTGGGAGGGCCTTCTCCCTTCCCCTGGATCCCACCAGCTCTGGCCTTTTTGCCATTCCAGCCTCCGCCGTACAGCGGGCTTACGATAGGAAAAGGCAGCAGCACCCCTCTCCAAAGCTCTGACCCCACTTCCGGCACTTCACCACCCTAGTGCCAATTCTTTGAGCTTTATTTCTTTCATCCTTAAATGTCTTCTGCAGGGGCCACATATTCAGCTGTGTTCGGTAATGTTTTGGTAGTCAAGTTAATACCTTAGCAGTTACAAAAATACTGGATGCCCAAAAGGTGGGCGGGCATAAGACACACTTTTCCTCAGAGCACAGCTTGGCTGCTGCTGCACCAAGGCCTTCAGTTAGTAACGCCTGGTGCAGAATTCGGCCCTCAGATGAATGTAATCTGGTAGAGCTGTGCAGTGGAAAAAAAATCACGGGCTTTGAGGCTGTGCTCGAATCCTGGCCTTGCTGTTTATTGGCCGTGTGACCTCTGAGAGAGTTCCTTAATTTCAAGCCTCAGTTCCCATATCTATGAAACGGACATCATAATTGTACCCCCCTCATGAGACTGTAAAGTTGTGATAATGTCTACTAAGTGCCAAACGCAGTCCTCAAGGGCCATTTTTTTTCTCCTCTGTAGAGAGGAGGTATATAAAAAAGTGATTATAAATGTGTCTCAGTATGTAGTTATGGAAAAAAGGAAGAAGCTGATTGCTCCCTGCCAATTTGAACCTAACATATTTTCCCATGATTTGTCTCGCAAGTGTAGAAGTGTAAGTTTTGTGACTAAATTCCCAGAAATCTAGTTCCTGGTTTCTAATTTGAGCCTCACTAAAGACTGAAGGGATTATACCACAAACCTCGTCAGTGCAGTGCCAGGTGACTGAGATGACAGTCAGTGGGCGGGAATTAGAAACAGGGACCCTGGTGTTAGACTACAGCAGAGCTGGCTTTAGCACAAGGTTAGGCAAGCCCTTGGCAAAACTCGGTTCTCATTTTTGCAGTACTGTGGGAATGAACGGGCCGGTGTTTGGGAGGCACTTGAACCTGATGTAAAAAGCATATCTAAGTTAAAGACCAAATGTTCAAAATTGGCACAAGCATGTTTAAAGATGGACTTTTAAAGGCAATATCTGATACAGGTAAAGGTGTAGTTTCAGGTACTCATACTGCTAATACTATCAATTGGTGTAAGGCCTTCAGAAGTGAGTTGGTGATATGCACCAAGAGCTCTAAAAATGTCTATGGCTGCCTGGCAGGGGTTCTATTTCTAGTGGTAAATCCTAAGGAAATGATAAAAGGTACGTGTACTTATGTACCAGTATATTTATCAGAGCACGATTTATAATAGTGAATACTGGAAACATTATGAATGTTCTATAGTTGAGAATGATTAAATAAAACTATGGCATACCTAAGTGAAAGACTGTTATGCAAGCAATTAAGCATGATGTTGTGGAAGAGTTTTTAGAGACAAGGAAAATATGATACAATGTAGAGAGAACTTGTAGTTAATTAATGCAACAGATATTTGTTTAGCACTTAGGCACCAGGCATTATCCCCAGTGGGCAACATAGAATTTATTATGTCCTCAAAGAATTTATATTCCAGGGGCAGGGGGGTGAGGAGACAGACAATAAGTAACAAACTTAATAAATAACAAATTATATAACATGTTAGAAAATGGTGAGTGATAGGACCCCTCCACTGCCTGCAAAAAAAAAAAAAAAAAAAAGCATGAGTTCTGGGATGGGGTGAATTGTGATCTTAAATGGTGCATCTGAAGCAGGCGGGCCTCACCGCGAAGGCAGCTTTGGGGCAAAGATGAGGGTGAGGCCATTAGCCATGTGGAGGCGTGGACAAGCGTTCCAGGCAGAGGGAGGAGCCAGTGTCAAGGCCAAAGGATATGAAGTCGTGTAAACAGTATTATCTCAATATTGTAAAATACACATACATGTATTTTATTTTGCTCATTTTTATAAGAAAAACATTTTAAATTTTGTAATGCTTTCAACATATTTTCACAGTTTCTCTAAATTGATCTCATGATTATTTTCTGTTATCTTTCATGAAGAAGGATAATTATTTTTTTTTAAAGGTTTCATTTATTTATTTTTAGAGAGAGGGGAGAGAGGGAAAGAAACATTGATGTGTGAGAGAAGCATCGATCAGTTGCCTCTCACACACCCCGAGCTGGTCATCTGGCCAGTGCTTAAGCCACTGAGCGACACCAGCCAGGGCTCGTGGAGAATAATTCGTCTTGTTTATCAGTGGTCAGTTTTATAAAAGCTGTGTTTCCATGTATTTGTTCAGATTGGACTCCATGGAAGATTTACGATAAGAAGAAAAAAGCACAACTTTTTCTGCACATGTCCTTTTGGACAGTATTTCCGGACAAGTAGTAGAAGCCTTAGTTTGTGCAAAAAACATAAAAATTACGGGAGTTGCTAAGGTTAGGCAACCGTAATCCAGAGGCCCCCTCATTTAATAGGCTCAGAGCAGGTGCTGATAGCAGAAAAACAAAATGTTTCCAGGTGGAATAGTGAATAAGGGATGGGGATGAACAATTCATTTTTAGTATTTCACAAACCAGACTGAAATTCAAGTGTAAAGTACATGATCAACCCAAATCTTAGGTTACCTTACTTGCACAAATTCTCCCTTGAAAATGCTTTTGTTTTTCAAAGTACTATCTATTGAGGTAGAATTTATAACACCTCTGTCATTAGGATATAAATGTTACTCATCTTACTTTTTTTAATGCATTTAGTTTCTAACCATGGTGAATTCCCTTATTTTAAAATGTAATGGCTTTATATATTTTTTTAACTTTTTCCAGTTATATCAGTGTTTCTCAACAAATTTTTCCACTTCTTCCATCAAAACAGAAAAGGCTCAACACATTGTTGCTGTTTATTTCTTTTCCTAAAAAAAAATTTAAATAGAAATGATTGGTGCTATCAACTGAACACTTACAGTTAACTTTCCAGTGACAAATTAATCTACACAGTACCCGAGAGGAAGCAGATTTATAAGGGAACAGGTTTCTGTTTTGAAGTTCCCTACGAATATTATAAACAGAAGAGAAAAAAAGTGAGCTCAGAAATGACTAACACTCTCAGTCAGTGCCAAACAGACAAAATCTTTTAAACCAAATTCCTTTTAAAAGTTGTAGTTGGCCAGCTCGTGGGGAACATAAATTAGGGCAAAGCAGTAATAGTTGATACTTTTAGACCTATAAATAAATACTTTATACATATATATTTAAAAACCCTAAACATTTATGGGATAATTTAAACACTGCTGGCTGATATGTTATATGAATGGTCTGCATATACTATATGCATCATTGTTTAAAAATACAGGGACAGTTCTTTGAACTACATAGTTTCATATGGTGCTTTAGGAATCATAGACGGAGGTAATTGGTACATCTTGGAATCAGGGACTTCTGTTTAGTTACTTAAATAAATGGGTTACTGAGAGCTGCCCCCTACTACTTCTCTCTGTAAATAAGAAGCATAGCATCATCAGGCACTTTTCCTGACATTGAGTAATACAACTTACTCTACATCAAAACTTTTATTTAGTCTTTGAAAAATAATTGCCTGTTCTAGAATGAGTCTTTTACATTTTAAGGAACCTATTTTCATAATTTTGTGTTTGATTGTCAATCCAGGTGGGATGATGGGAGAGGAAGGTCTCAGTGTGTAATTAAATATGCAACCTGTAATGGACACCTGGAGGACTTAGGCGTTGAACTAGTTAGTGAAGGCTACTGTTCTACTATGGAAAATTTGGGAGCAGTCAAGTTATCTGAGGCTCCCTTCACCTGGGCGAGCATCATTCCATGACAATGTTAATATGTACCTACTGCGGTAATTTCCTCTCTTAATAAATTATAGCTATTCTGAAAGATTTTCAAAGTTGAGAAATTGAGGCTCACAATTTCTTGCAGAGCAGGAAAACATCACAGCCATTTTGCAGAACAGCTGAGCAAAGACAAAGTCCCACGGAGGTGGGACTTGAATTTAGATCACTGGGGTGCCACTGCCAGCCCTGTACCACATGGTCCTCACTTAGCTTTCTTTCCTATAGACCTGGCCGCATGCATAAAAGAGTCCTTCATTTTTCCTGCCATGGGAGCACGGGACTTAGCAATGTTGAGTTTCACGGCTTTAGTCATCAAATGTCCTGTTAAGCTGTGGTTTCTTTTTAGTACATGTTCTAAAAAAAATTTAAAGTACCAATATATAATGATGACTAATTGCTTTTCATATAATAACTCTTCATATTTTTGAACCCGTGTTCCAAGTCTGTTTCCTTGCTGTCTTTGTTACTCTGAAGCAAACACCACTTGTAGGCTAGGTTTTATCTTTTTTTAACCTTCTTCATGTTTTTATACCCAGCAACCTGCAGGGTTCCTGACACTCAGCAGGTTTTCAGTAAAAACACCTTTACTGAGGGAGTTGTACCTTGGCCCATGAGAATCTCTCTATTTATTCAAACTGTAATGTAATCCACAAATTTGAAGTTCTCTCCTCAGATATAAAAATGCCAGATATCCCAAAACACCACCTCAGCTCTCTACTCATACATATTTTAATATAGCCACCAAAGGAGAGCTTAGTATAACAAGTAGAATTTCTGAAGACATCCTAACCAACTTCTGACCTGCTGAAATGAAACTCTTTTTATGGAGGAAAATATATAGAATCTTTTCACCTTTAATTGATTGAAGATGATGGTACCTGGAACTATTTTGGGGAATAATTTTGATATAAAGGGGGGAAAAAAAGACATGTGTTTCTTCTGAGTGCTGCTTTTTCGTTGTTCTAATGGGCTCTTCACTATTGTTTTGTCTGAATGCAGTTTTTTATTTGTGTTATTCCAGACGTGGTCCTACCACAGGCATCTTTAAACCAGACATTAATAGCATAGTTCACAGTCATTACTGCCAGTGCTCAAACACAAATATTGCATTTGTGTTTGCAAAAGCTACACATCAGATGTTAATTAAGTGCGTTTGGTTTTATTTATTTTTTTCCTGCTTAAACAATCTGGCATAAAGAGTTTACATCTATATCAGTTCACCGTAAGGTCTCTACAATATCTGAATCATCCATACAGTATATGATAAATACAGTGTTTCCATACAAGAAAATAACAGAATTGCCAGGAAAACATCAGGCCTGTTATATTTCCCTGTAAAATAATAGGAACTGGATCTCAGTTTCTTTTTCTTTTTGATAAAAACGTATTTAACAAGGAGTAAACACCAACATTTAGAATGATAAATTTTTCATTAAAGAACACATGGAAAGTGATATCGTACCAAAGATTTTTTTCCTTGTTTTTAGCTTGCTTCGGGGCGTTGTGACAGTTGCGCTGGAATAAAATTGGAATTTGGGCTTTGTAGAGGGGAGATTCGGCTGCCGCCAGAGCAGCGAGTGCCAATCTGCTGGCGGCGGGAGCGGGCGGAACCGCACACTGAGAAACAAACTTTCACATCAGGTTGCTAATTTTAGAGCAAAAAATGGAATGACTTTAATTATATGACATTTACCTAAAAATACGATTTGCTGAAATTAACTATCTTATTTGAAAATTTGTACTAAGTTTTAATTAGCATAAAGAATCAAATTCAGCATTTGGATAAGGTCAATGCCACTGCTGGATTTAAAAGCAGAATTTGATTCATTTGACTTGGATCCCCATATTGGTGCTGAAATTGGACAAGATTAAATGGAGGAAGTTGGGAAAGCATGCATTTGGGTGGAAAGTAGTTTTCTTTTCCTCTCTCCCTCTCTCCGTCCCTCCCTCCTTTCTTTTCTCTCTCCCTTTTTTCCCAGAGAAACAGGTCATGGCCTCATAGCCCCTCTGGGAGGGAATGACTACCTGATGAGGTCAGAAAACTTGGCATATTTATTGATTGTCTCTGTTTATTCGCTGCTTATGTAAGATACAGCGATGAAACAAACTAAATTATTGTGTGATCAAAGTTTAATAGAAGAATTTAAAATACACATAATAATGGTATACATGAAAAATGATCATTCTGTGTTAATTTTATGTACTTATTTCTCTTATTTAAGAGAGAATATAAAAGTTCTGATGTTTAATTTGATTTTTCTAACAAATAGCTTTTAAATATGCTTTTGAAGGCATTTTAAAAATAAGGTTGTTTTTAAAAAATTAAGTAAATCAGGGCTGGGACGAGTGTATTCTTTATCAAACTCTTGTGCTCTGGCCTTAAGATCTAAACTTTGTCTCTCTTCAATAATTTATCTTAGGCAATGAATTCATTTATTAACAAGAATGATCACCTTTGGGAATTCTTCTGAAAAAGGGACAATTATTGTGCGTATGGTGGTAAAAGGCGCCTTCGGATTTGCTGGGTGTGGGCTTCAGGAAATGTCCCGTGGCCGTAGGGTTGGAGAGGTCCACGCCACCGTAGTGTTCGGGCGAGAACTAGGTCCATGTGACTGACTCCCTCAAGCTGATAAATTGCATGTGAATATCTGAATGCTGGTTGGGCGTGTCAAAATTCTGAAATAACAAAGTACAGTAGGCCAATATGTATTTTGAATAGTTGTACTTACTGTAACCCAGTATATATTCATACTCTTCAGCAAAACATGAGTGAGATTGTTGGAGTGATGGTAAAGATGAGGTCACTTTTTGAATCAGAATAGCATATGTATTCAGATTTGAGGAAATGGGACTATTTGTAACATTACCTGTTGAAGGGTGGAGGAGAGAGAAAAACCAAGCTTGGATGTTTTCTGTTAATGAATGACATTAGCATTGACAAAACATTGTTTCCCAATGTACTCTGTGAAATGTTAAAACTGATATACTTCTCGAGATACTTAGAGTAAGTGATTGGTGTATGGGATTATGAGAGAGAGATGTATTGACTGTTAGGAAATTTAATTTTTATGAAGTCAGCATTATGGAGAAATACTGTAATCTGATTCATTTCTGCAGAATTCCCAGTAGGAAGAGGCCTAGCCTCGGGAGTTGAAATGTTTCATTATGTGTACATGTGTGGGAACAAATGAAATGTGGTTTTCATGTGCTGATTTTCTGTAAAGCATCTATTAGTATGAGAGTGCCTAGGCTAAGACAGCAAAGCCCCCAAACCACGATTGTCTAGGGGGAAGTGAGCCCCGAAGGATAGCTCTGATGGATACTGACATCATAAGCAATAAGCTTGAAAGTAGCAAGAAAAAGCTATGACAGTAACATAATGTTGAAATAGTAGCTAAGGAATTGTCATATGCTGAAGATGAGGTCAGCCTTTTGTCTCCCATCAATCCCTAATCAACTTTGCTTTTAGAAATGGAAGGTTCCCCCAAAATGAAGAAACTGCAAACCTAAGCTTTTTTATACCAATGCTAATTTAACCAAGTTGTTCATCTTATAATGTAAACTATAATTAGAGCAGAGCTATTTATGTAACATGAGCTGCACCATTTTTGAGGCAAGAAAAAGAGGGACATTTGCCCCTAGGCTCTAAAGTAACAGGGCTCTCCAGTGACATTGGCAGTCCCTGACCCCAGGGAAGCTGGGGGTGGTAGAGTGAGGTGCCTCCAACAGGTTGTGCCAAAGAAGGTATACACAGCGCTCCATACCCCGCCAAACCCACGTTCTCATGACACACAAAGGTCTTTTCCCTCCCCAGTTCCAAGGCTGCCTGTCACTTTTTAGTGACCTCCATCCCTCTCCAAGGCTCCTGTTGAGATTCACTTGAATTGGGTGTTAACCTAACTCAGTCAGAATAGGTGTGTGTTTGGAGAGGAAGGGATGGCTACAGAATGATTTATTCCTGTTTCCCATGCCCGTAGGCCTGACACTGAATTCCAACCCTTGTGGAGATGTCCTTGGAAATGAATGAAAGACCAAGGTTTTTTGCTGCTGTTGATATTTAATATTAAAGTGTGCTTTCCTTTTTCTGTTGCTATTTTGGAAAGTCTGGACTCTTCTCAATTATTCCGGAAAAAAACAACCGTCAGACACTTTCAAAGCTTGTAGCTCAAATAACTCTGTTACAAAACATATATACATACATGAGGTCTGTCCAGAAAAAGTCTAACCATTGTTAATATGATGAGAATGGTTTGCGTGACATTGTTGTAACCTGGCAGCCAAGGAGAGTGGACTGGAATGTGCATGCATGAACAATGATGACTTCACTCTACTAGTCAGTGTGGGCGGTAGATGCCATTGTGTGAGCATGTGTACTGTGTGGTTGTTGAATTCAAAATGACTGAGTGAGCTGAACAATGAATCTGCATCAAATTTTGCATTATGCTTAAAAGGCAGAGATTTCAGACCATCGATGAGGTTCAGGAAAATATGACAGGGCAGCAGATGGAGAGTGGGAGAACTGTGTAAGGTCCCAACATGCCTCCTTTGAAGGGGACTGAGTTACCAATTTTTGTACAATTTTTCTTGTATCTTCTTCAATAAATATATTTTTTTCATATTACATGGCTGGACACCTTCTGGACAGACCTCGTATATAAAAACTTCATAGAACTCTGGAGCTGATAATGAGAGATATCTGTATTATTTTAAAATAAAAAAAGTAAAGCTAGCTCCTTAGATTAAAATTGGCTAAAGAATAGAAATTCAGAAGGAGTTTTTTGCTTTGGTTGATTAACATACTTTTTTAATGATTTAGGCATCGGCGCCAGCCCATATGTGATGAACTGCAATGTCACCATAGACTCTCAAGACTTGGCTTTGGGAAAAGAGATTGCTAGTGCCATTCGGGGCTCAAATGCAAATGGACTGAAGGGCGTCCAAACGATGGCTTTTCCCCATGAAGGGAAAATTGAAATAGCGTGCAATGTGGAGAGTTTTGAAGACCAAGAAGCTATAGAAACCTCAGAAGATTCTCGATACATGGCTTACAGTGTCCTTGGCAACCATTTTTCCTATGTATCTCCTCACTACATAGAAGCTCAAGTTAAAAAGTTGGCAGGTGATAAAGGAATTGGTACTATAGGGAGAGCATTAATTGGATTTACACCTCAAGAGTGCAAGAACTGTGCTGAATATGCTATAAAGGAAAGTATTGGAGAATTCTGGAAGATACGGGGAGGTGTTTTCATGTGATCCAGTTTAAGGATTCATATAAATTTTAAGGGAAAATATCAATCGTTACAAAATTGTTTTTTGGCCAGTAAAGATGAGGGGAAGATACAAAGAGTTTGGTTATAGCTTTGTATTGGAAAATTAGAAGCATTCTTTGTTCAACAATCAGTTTTTATAGGTTTTCATAGTTGCCCTGTGATATTTCTGGTTGTCATTAAAACTTGATGAGAACATAATTCTTCATCAAGTTTATGCACTTGTGTGCCTTAGAAGCCCCCCTGAATCAGCTGAGTAATATGGCCATGGTTGCTGAACCACCTTTAATTATTGTGAACAAAACCAAAAATGGAATGAGCACTGGACAGTGGATTGACGGGCTTGTATTCCTTGGTCTTACCTGCCTGGTAGCCATAATCCCATCACCTATAAAATAGGGAAAAGATTTCCCACTTTAAGCAATCTCATTTCCCTGGTTTCCCCAAAGTCTTTATTCCCAAGTTTTATATTCAACTTTAATTTTTTAAGTAATCATTTTTAATGTGTATTTTAAAAAATTAGCCATGGCTAGTGTGGCTCAGTGGACTGAGTGCCAGCCTGTGGATGGGAAGGGTTGATGGTTTGATTCCCCGCCAGGGCCCGTGCCTGGGTTGCGGGCCAGGTCCCCAGCAGGGGCTGTGTAAGAGACAACCACACATTGATGTTTCTTTCCCTCTCTTTCCCCTTCCTTTCCTCTATCTATAAAAATATATAAATAAACCTTTAAAAAATCAAGGATTAAGTGACTAAAAAGTGAAGAGAATTATAAAATAAAATTATTCTTTCAAAATATGGTTTTTTGGGGGTTTTTTTGCCCTCCAATTTTTAGATAGACCTATTGTACATTTCAGAGACAACTCCAAAAAACCCAGTTTGTCTAAAATTTTAATGTTTATATAGGGGGATGGAATGGTGGTGTTGGGCATGGCTTATCCTTTTTGGAATTTAAATGAAAAGTCTGAAAATTTAGGGAACATATTGCTTTTTAGCAAAGAGAAGAGTATCAGTGGAAGAATTTTACTTGGAAAAAATCAAAATATGTAGTCATTTTGTGAACTAAAAGAAGCCACTTATTGATTCTGGCAATTTTATGTAAATCTTTAGTATTTAAATTGCTTCAGTACAAGGTACATTTTAACCATACAGCACAAAGAAATGAATTTTTTTGTTGTTAATTTTGTTTAGCAAGAAAGATGATGGTTTTTCCAAATAAGAGCACATAATACGAATTTATTTTAAGGAATTAAAAATAAAAAATGAGATTGAACTAAATCTTTTTAGAGGATCCAATAATGTATCCTAATATTGTTTCACTTACATTTGACTCTTGAATCTGATTATATGAATTTTGTTCCAGAATTATGTTTCTTTGGTCATGTCTTTTCACTGACAATATCAGTCCCAAAAAGATGTAGAGATGATGGGCTCCGTTTAGTTTTCAGGCACAGGAAGGGCAGTGGCTGTGGCGACGAGGGCTGTGAGGGCCGAGAAGCAGCAGCGCCTAGCTCTTTCGTTGCTTGGGCAGAGGCCACATAACCTAGTGGAACGAGCACTGGACAGTGGATTGGGGGGCTTGGGTTCCTTGCTCTTACCTGCCTTGTAGGCATAGTTCCGTCACCTGTAAAATAGGGAGTTTTCTTACCTTAACCAAGGGCTGTATTGGAGGGAAGTACTTTGTAAGCCGAAACATAAAAAGGAAACATATTGCTAATACTCTTTCCATATTTATTCCATAGTTATGGGCATCAATATTCAACAGATGAGAGAGAGAAAAGCACATGGTGCCACTGAGTTATTTGCAGTTGTCAGAGGATTTGATTCATTTGCTGGTTAGCTGAATTAACCTCTCCAGGTTCCTATCACTGTTCTAGGCATCTGGCTTTGTGCAAGGCCTTTTTAAAACCAAACGTCTATTTAATGGGTACAGGGTTTCAGTTTTGAAAGGTAAACGGTATCCTGGAGGTGGTGGTGATGGTTGCACAACAACGCGAACTCTTCATGCCAGTGAGCTATATATTTAAAAATGGCTACCGTGGTAAATTTTACATTATGTGTATTTGAGTGCAATTAATTATTCAAAAGTTTATGTTAATTCCACAAAAGTTGAAAAAAACAAAGAACAAACATTTGAATAAGATAATTTCCCTAAGCCCATACTTTCTAAATAAAGTTTTTGGCAAATTTCTCATATCCATTAAATTTACAAACATTTAAGACCTGTTTTTCCCTTTTTAATCTATTATGATGGCTTTGGACCTACATAGGAGATTTAGTTAATGGTTTAAAATGGAGTTGCTTAAATTTGGCTTTTGAGCAAAAACAGTAATTTACTATCTTTATTATACAGAATTTTCAAAAAGAGTACAATCACATCTTACCTCTTGTTCATATTTTAATATCTCTGTTCTTTTCTATTGTCTCTCTCTTCTCCTCCTCCCTTGCTCCAATTTCCTGTGCCTGAGCTGGCAGATGTAGCTGGGATAGATCAATAACAACTATGGATTATCAAATTAGGTTGAGAAAATCTGACAAAATGAACTTAAGAAATACCCTGACTCATGTTACCCTTTTTTTACATTGGCCTCTTAGGAGCAAACCAGCAGTTTGTGCAAATGTTTCTGCAGTATTTTTTTTCTATGGGACCACAAAGTGGACATTGTATGGAACGTGGCTTCATAGCTCGTTTAACCTGCATCTCCTGCCAGATGACTTTGCCCATGACTTGTTGCAGGTTGTGAATAAGGCAAATGGATGTGGGCAAAGAGAGTTTACATTTGATCAACTCTTCAGTGTTTCTGCTCTACCCAACTCTAAACTTTAACTTTTAGTTTCTTAGAAGAGAGACAAGGAAAGCAAAAAGCTAGGCTATGCAGGCGACAGGAGCTTCTGTTATTGCTCTTGTTGGGGGGTGGTGTCCTTTGTTTCCAACCTGAATTAGGGCTTGACTCAACAGTAAATTAAAACTACTTCAACCTAAGGGAGTGGGTCAGGCTAAGTAAAATATAACTGCAAAATAAAACAAAATGGGGGGTAATATTTTCATTCCTCAACATAATGAAAAGCCTTGCTCTGTAATTGGTTTGTACTGTCTTGGAAGTGGCGTCCATGGTCCACAAAGGACCGCTCTGTGAGAGATCTGCGAGGAATTTATCATTCCCTCTGGCTGAGCCAACGCAGGCTTGATATACAGTTTTGTTTAGTATAAATATTCTCATGTTACTGTTTACTCTGTGGGGATCCGAGGATCTCACTGACAGGGTACGTGCTCCACTGCCTTGCTTTTAAAAGGCATTTATTTGACTCTGTTGTTTGTACTTGCCCAGAAACTTCAGAGAACGGCCCAGGAACTTGTTTGATAAGCATCCAGACCATGCTCCGGGAGTATGTCGTGCTCGGGGGTTAGAAAAGCTTATTGTTTTAAGCAGGCCCGCACATGGCCTCGGAGGAGCCCATTTTTCATAGGTAAGAACAATTCAGACACTAACGGCGGTCTCTGAGATTGCTCCTCTCAGCTGTAAGGAAAGATCCTGCTAAGTGTGGCTCTGGTGGACCTCAGCCTGATGTTGGATTACTCTGCCATTTCCTTTGTCCCTATTTGAAATATTTTGAGGCAGTTTAGTTTGTGAATTAAGATGTGAGCCAGAGACCTAAACATGGCACGAGTTTCTCTTTGTAACTGTGTAGCGTGTGTATTGTCCAGCCATTGTCTCCCAGCCCTACACCCACCCTTCTCTACACTGCTTTATGCCTCTGGGACTCTGCAGACTACGTTCTTTCTTTGCCGGCTGGTTCCGCATTCGGCTCTGCCAGTGTAGGGTGCTGGGGAGGCTGCCTGGCCGGAAGAGGAGAGGGGCTTGCTCCTTCCTGTTTGTTTCTGGCAGCCCCACCTGAGCAGTGGCTCTTAACCCGGTGGTGGGTCTTGGTTCCAGCATTTAAAGAATTATTTATTTATTTATTTATTTATTTATTTATGACTCTTTCAGAGCTAGCCTCATTGTGCCCCTCAGAAGCACCAGCCTTGGCAGTTTTGCTGCCTCAGAGGTCTGAGCCCCAGCTTGGCCAGCCCTCACCTCTAAGCTTTTAGGCTCTGAGATCCCAGCCCCCCTCCCTTTGTTCCTTCAGGGGCAGATGAGGGGCTTCCTGAAGTCCTATCTCTGGGGCACTGTGTTCTCTCCTTGTTCTTCTAGTTCTCCAGCAACTGTTGGTCAATTTTTTAAAAATGTTATCTCTTTTGGAATACTTTGTGGTTTCTGTTTTTCCTTCTGGATCCTGTTAGAAGTAAACCTATCAGCAGACTAAACTGAAGGAAACGAGAATAAGGCAGAAAATATTCAGTGTGGATGTAGTTACTAATGGAAATAGCCTGTTGATGATCACTGTCCTTTTCTTCTCGCTAGCATTTTATTCTCTTCATTTTGTTTTCTTACTGTCAGGTTCTCTCCTATGTTCCCTTTCACAGACTTGCTCTTCTTTTAGCAAGTAGGGAGTCTGAGTGTTGACTTGGGCTAAGACTGGGAAATACAGTAAGCCATCAGGTGGCATTTTCACCATTGAAAATTGTAGGCTAATATAATTGTAAAATTAAGAGAATTATAGTCTTATCACTCTTATAATAGTTACTTGTCTTTCCTTTGTATCCATCTTCACCTGCCAGGTAGATGATGCTATTTAGCTGATGGCAGGCTCCCAGCCTACCAAATCTTCTTTACCAAACCATCTTTCCAAAACCTTTTGTGTATCAGCCTATTAACTTTTCCTTAGGAAACCCCACCCACAACCAGCCACTGCTTCCTAACTTCTTAGGTACCTGTATCTTCATAAAGACAAACTGCTTTGGAAAAAATAATCATTGTTATTGATGTAGTCTGTCAATGACCCCTTGTTATAAAACTACTTTGTTTCTGGTAAGTGTAAATAATTTTTGGCAATTGACAAGTATTATTTTCTGTCTACCTCCAAATTATGTTTAGTAGTTTATCTTCTTTTGTGATACCTGCTCCTATATTTCATGTGGATAAAAGGAAGATAAAATAGCAAGATATAAGGAAAGGAGTCTTCTGTGAACTCTTTCAGCATCATTAATTATAGATATTATTTGTTGAATTCCAACTAAGTGTCAGGTACTAGCATGTGATTTTCACAACAACCCGATGGAGTAGGTGACTATAAAGTAATAAAATTCCCCAAGTTCTTTTAGCCCACTGGGTCATCCAGGTGCTTCCTACTACTGTATCCCATATGTTGTAGATTTCTACTGCTGCCCTAACCTTAAACATCCCTGGGACCCACATCCTCAGGACACCAGGCCTCTCCTCCTAGGCCCAGTTGGCTTTTGTCTCTAGTTTCTTGTGATCCAGTTAGAAGTTGGACAGCCAGTTGGTTGACCCTCCAGTTCTATGCAGCATGGTCCACCTGAAACTCCTGAAACTTCTAGACCTTAGACCTCCTCAATACTTCCGTAATCTTTCCTCATTGAAAATGTCTTCCTGATCTGTCTTTTACACAATTATCACCTATGGAGGTATTGCTCATTTATTCTTTCCTGTACCTGGAAGATCTATCAGCTTTAGAGCTTCCTCCCCTGGACTATCAGTGCCTCCTCTGCAGGACAGTGTATTTGTTCTGTTAGACACAACCCTGTTTCATCAAGTGAGGAAGTGGAGGATGAATCCCCACAGATTTCTCCCAGATGAATTTTTCTGGGTTGAGCCACAAAACTTGCTGCAACTAATTGGGAGA